CTGAGTAGATCGCTTGATACGGCTACGGACATAGTCTAATTGATGCGGCGATGGAAAGAGGCGTTGCGAGGTGAAAGCGGGTTCTGCAATAAATTCATCCCATATTTTTTGCTGCATATTAGGAAATTCATGCCAGTGGAGAACACGTCTGGGATAGATCCTATTGACGGGATTCACAGGATCTCCTTTAGTTGTCAAAGTCGCTTTTGTTTCAATGCTAATTGCTAAAGAGAGCTTGTGGCATCCATCTAGAAGGTCGGGTAGTGTGTTTAGCTCTTTGATGGTTCGCCGTTCAGTCTCCTCGCGGCGTCGTTGCTCTTCGGCAAGGCGACGGTCTGCTTCTTCGCGGCGTTGTTGCTCCTCGGCAAGGCGTCGGTCTGCTTCTTCGCGGCGTCGTTGCTCTTCAGCAAAGCGTCGTTGCTCTTCAGCAAGGCGTCGGTCTGCTTCTTCTAGAAGCTGACGTAGCCTCCTTATTTCCTCCTGCGACATTGGTTTTCATCCAGCAAGATAATTGTTGAGCGAATGTTGGAGACTTAAGCAGCGCCGTATTATCGCTTGTGCTTAGTTTTCCATCTAACATCCATTGACAAAGACAAGTTAGCATACTTGAAGACTGGTTCGGGTGACTTCTTGCTAACCGGGTTGAAGCCAACAGCGACTGTTGGTTCAATAGTGGAATGAGGGTAATGCTCCGTCTGATATTAGGAGTGTTGGGAAGCTGCGTTTGGATTAATAAGAGGGTCGCCGAAGCCGGAATATCTATTATTCCGCTTTGTGGTACCGGCGCAAACCCCTCCTTAGGCAGTGTTTATCTGCTAATTTCTTTTGTTCCTCCGCAATAACTAAAAGCAGGAACTTGCTTGAACCCTTGCCAATGTGATATTGAGGCCTATCCAATCATGAGGCTAGAAAACCTTCGGCAAACGTTGGGGCATGGAGTTGGTTGCAAACGCGGCCGGTCTGACCAAAGGTCAGCAATCAGCAGTTCCACGCGCCCGAATATTAGGTGTTGATACTCGGACTTGCACGTCATGGAAGCCCGATCTTGCTTACTAGCCCTTCAGATGCACCTTTGGATCACTTCTCTTACAACACATTATTTTGACAGGGAAGGAGAATG